CCCCAGGCCCCAGCAATCTGAGAGCGTGCCCCAGGCAATGCCAGGGCGGGGCACCTCCCCAGGCCAGTGCCTGTCCTGCCTGTCCGCTCACTCAGCAGGGCAAGTTCAGGCTTGTCTCATTTTTGGTCTGACACTTGGGAATATGTTTCTTAGTCGTACATTCACCAAATTCCCATATTAAGAAAGTGGGAACGTCACCCTTTGGAATTCATTATATTCGGAATGCGATACATGGCATTTTTACCTGTAATAACTCCACGTGGAGTCACGAATATAGAAACTTTGTCAATTTAAAGAAGTTGAACATTTTTAAAGTGTCCTTAAGTACCCTGGAGACAGGCTGTGCTCCGTCGCGAGGTGAGCGGAGGAGGGGAGGGGTAGGAGTGGAGCGGGGTGGGGGGGTTCCCGAGCGAGCGCAGCCTGCAGGGGACCCTCCGGCTGCCTGAGCAGCCGACACCCCGAGATGATCCGCCAGCTCTTCAAGGAAACACAGGTGTGGCGCTGACATTGTGGAATTACTTAAGGGTGCGGCGGAGCTGCCGGCGAGGCCGACCCTCCGTGCCAGGTCATGCAGGACCCACCCGCGGCGGTCTTCACTCCGCACGCACGACATCGACCGTGTTTCTGAGAAGCAGGCTGGAGTTTTAAAACTATTTCCACAGGGCTTCCGCCTTCTTTCCATTTTTTCTTTTTCAAAATAATTTTGCTATTCCAACGCCTCTCACTTTCCCCTGGGTGGCCGTCTGTGCTTTCAGGGTTTCTCTGTTGGCGAGTGGAGAACGTCCCTGTGGTCGCTACCGTGGCTCCTTTTCTCTCGGACACGGTCTTCAGGATTATGAATTAGCTCGCAAACCGGGGCGTCACGAAGGTGGAGAATGAGTTACAGGGCATTTGAACGACTCCGGCTAATGGCACACAGAGGTGCTGGAGCGAAAACAAACTTAAAGTCAGCTCTCCTCTTTCACAGTGAGAAAGAAACTAAGGCTCCGAGCCGACCGGCGTCCTTCCCCAGGGCGAGAGCCGGTTGGTGGCACAGGAAGACCAGGCCTCCCCTCCACGTAACTGGGCTGCATTGCGACAGGACCCAGTGACCACATGCAAAATGCCACTTTGTAAAGTTTTCTGTGTTCTCTTCGGAAAATAAATTCCAGTTGAATTTCCGGAAAAAATATCTATTCTTTAGTGACAGGCCATTCCGGAAAGCTAAAACAGTAAAGATGTAAAATAATGCTTGCTTTTAATGCTGACTTTTAAGGAGCACAAGGAAATGGAAAATTTTTCCATTCTATGCGCACATGGTGCATTTTCACAATATAAAAATGATTTTACATATGCAAGCATATTTTCCAGAATATTTTAAAAATAACTTTATATTATAAAAAGTAAAATGTGTTATTTTTGTTGAGAACTTGAAATACAGAGTACAGAGGAAAACACAAAAGCTACCCGTAACCCTGTAACTCAGACGCAGACGCTGCCTTCCTCCCGGCACATTTGCCACCAGCGCGGCGTCTGATATGTGCACACACATGCGCATCCTACGTGTCCTGCTGGAGGTCCTCGTGCGCCTAACAGCGTCACGGCCGTTCTGCAGTTTCATACCCTGCCTGCTCCGGGTAACCACGGGTCAGCAGCGGCTTCTCGAGGACGCCTTGGATTGGATTATACACAAGTGTGCAGACCTGCGTCCAAGGAGAGTGAAGTCAGCGGGACGGTGTGCTTTGCACGTGAGCTGAGAGTCACAGTCCGCCCTGATGGAGCCCAGGGCTCGGCGACGGGTTAAACAGAGAACAGCTTTGCAGCTCCTTCCTCTCCTCGCGCATCTCCAGCGTGGCGTGCGCAGCCCCGGATCCCACGCGCATTCCAGCTTCGCTCCCACCTCTCCTCTCTCCGTTCAGGGCAGGGGAGGCTGAGAGCATATTTGAGGGGAGAGAAGGAACGGTTATGATTTAAGGAGGAGAGGAACTATTCCTGGTCCCTCCTCGAGCCCTGGAGAGGTGAATACGGATCAGCTGGTGGAAGGAGGAAGAGGCGTGGCCCCTGCGGGCAGTCTGGTCGTGAGGACCCGCTCAGCTTCCTGTCCGCCTGCCTTCGTCTTAAGCACAGGAAGACGTGTCTGTGTTTGAGACCATAAATCTCAATGCTTTGAGGATGAAAGGTGGGTTTTAGCCAATGACCATGTCATTTAACAGCTGTTCATTTAAACAATAATGGTTTTATTGAGCTATAATTCACATTTCACATAATTCACCAATTTAAAGTGTATAATTCAATGGTTTTTAGAATATTCAGAGTTGTGCAGCTGTCACCACAGCCAGTTTTTTTTTTTTTTTTTGAGACAGAGTCTCACTGTGTTGCCCGGGCTAGAGCGAGTGCCATGGTGTCATCCTAGCTCACAGCAACCTCAAACTCCTGGGCTCAAGCGATCCTCCTGCCTCAGCCTCCCGAGTAGCTGGGACTACAGGCATGTGCCACCATGCCCGGCTAATTTTTTCTGTATATTTTTTTTAGTTGTCCAAATAATTTCTTTCTAATTTTAGTAGAGATGGGGTCTCGCTCTTGCTCAGGCTGGTTTCGAACTCCTGAGCTCAAACAATCCGCCCGCCTCAGCCTCCCAGAGAGCTAGGATTACAGGCGGGAGCCGCCGCGCCCGGCCACACAGCCAGTTTTAAAGCATTTTCATCACCCCAAAAGAAGCCCCAGACCCATTAACAGTTACTTCCCATCTCTCTGGCCCTCCAGCCCTAGAAAACCACGAATCTACTTTCCATCTGCTGATTCTGGACCTGCTGATTCTGGACGTTCACACACATGGAATCAAAGAACACGTGGACCTTCGTGCCTGGCTCTCCTACTGAGCACCCTGTCCCCGTGGTCCATCCACGTCACGCCACGAGCCAACACTTCCCTTCCGTTCCTTGCAGAATAGTGTTCCATCGCATGGATAAACCACATTTTATTTTTCCACTCACCAGTTGGTGGACGTTTGACTTCGTTCCAGTCTTTGGCTATTGTGAATAGGCCAATGCTGCCACGAACATTGCCGTACGGGTTTCCGTGGAGACGTATATTTTCGTTTCTCTTGGCTAAATACCGAGGTGGGTCTTACTGTTATCTGTGCTAAACTCCCGAGGAACCGCAAGAGCAGGTCACATTTTAGGCCTTCAGGTGCTCCTGAGCTAACGAAGGACTAGTACAATTTCCTGTTTCTGTGGGACAACTGTCAGGGGAGGGATTACGTTATCCAAAGTTGAGGACAGAAAGTCAAAACCTGATTTGTTTTCCATACATCTTCTCATCAACAAAGAATAATTCCTTAAAGTAATATTTTTATGAGATTCTTGGAATATTTGGTCATGTTCAACTGACAGTTTTAGAAATATTATTTTACCCACAATAATAACATTCACTCTAAAAGTCATGGCTTACGTTACGTTACTATTGATGACGCTGAACTAAAAATTCAGGTGCCTACAATAAACTAGAGTGCCCCACCTGAGACTTTGTGTACGTAAGAATTACTGGGAAAACTCATCCAAAAAGCCAAATTCCAGTCTCTGCCCGTAGGAGATTGTGAGTCCATAGGCCAGGAGTGAGGCCGAGGTCTGTATTCATAACGACCTTCCTCCTACCATCCCCGAACACACACAAGTGATTCTGACCCAGTCTGGCTAAAGTGGTCAATTTTTGCATTTTCTTAGAATTGACTGTGCTGACAATGTCAACCTGATGTCTCTCTTCAGTAGAAACAGTCACCCAAGCCTTGCGTCTTGCCTTCCAGCTCCTTGACTCACTCACTTGGAAGAGCTCCCTTCCTCCTGCGTGTACGTGAGCTGTTTAAAGTCTGTATATGTTTAGTTACATGTGGCTCAGGATGTATGTCTTACTCTCCCAACTGGACAGCAAGTCACCTGAAGGCAGAGAATGACATTTTTTGATGGCGTCCCTGTGGGCAGTTGCTGAGGACACTGTGTTATGAGACCAAAGATTCAGGTGCCACCCTGCATCTCTGAGCCTCATGGGGCCCCAAGGGCCTAATCAGGAGCCCCCTGCACCTGCCAGGTGTGCCCCCGACCCAGTGGGAAAGCCCCGCCCTGCTGGCTCCCCTGTGAGCCAGACCAGCTCTATTCCCTAAACTCTTCAACATGATAGGTTCCCTGGCAGCCCCCAAAATACTCGAATAAGCCAGTCACGCCTTCTGCAGGAACCAGGGGCCACTCACCCTCTTGTTCCTGCAATGCCGCGAGTGCTGCCCTGTGTGGCATGTGGCACCCCTCTACACGGGGGAGAACGTGTAGCTAATAACCTGCTGTCTCGGCACCCGCCCAGCACTGGGTACTCAGCCGTCTCGTGTGTACCGCCGAGGGAGGAGTGAACAGGAGGTGGCCACAACAGAGATAGTAGGTGCTCAGTAAATATGTATCAATTGGCTAAAAGACTGTAAGTGTGGAATAGAGATTTTGGATAACATCCTGACTTTGCCCCTGTGCTCAGCGCTCAGGTTTTACTCGTAGGATGAGGGTGCAAAGGAGCTGTACGGAAATCAGGTGCCGGACTGCACGTCTCACCCCAGTCACCAGGACTACAAAGGAAACAACTCAATTGTGAATCGCATCATACCTAAAACTGAGCAATCCAGTGTGACTGCTGCTGCTTGGGCCGGTTTGTCCTGCCACGCCCCGCCGTCACAGCCTGCTCTCCTCCCCACCGCCCGGTTTCCCAAATGGTTCTCCACAGCAGAACATATGCGGGAGGGTGGTATTTATGCAATATGGCTCTCCTCTGAGAGTTGTGGAAACTTTGCAGGGATATTTTAAATATCCAGGGAAATGTTTATACTGTTTATTATCAATCAGAGAGGAATGTGCCTGGTTTGCTCATTTAGAGAAACCTTCAGCAATCGAGAACACTAAATGGGATGTGGATTTCCTCAAATAACAAGCAAAGCAGAAACTGCAGTTGCATGTCCCGGGAACAGCCAGTCCCCTGGAAACCCTCACCTTTTAAGGTGGCTTTCTTGAGGACCTTCATGGCGTAGAGCTGCCCGGCGTCCGACCCCTTGACCTTCCTTACCAGGAACACCTTGGAAAGAGAAAACAGAACATCTGGAACTGCTGAGACTTGCGACCCACTTTCCTTATTTGATTTGACACGGAGATACACAAGGAAGTTTAGAGACATTGCAACAAAATAAACACATTGTAGGAACATTGAGAATTTTCTCCGGCATTCAGGCTACCAGGAAAAGCTTCATCTAACTTACTGCAGCTCTTAGTGACATCGATACGTGTCTGAATAAGAATCATTTGCTTTTGGTACCATTGACTTTGTTTTACATCAGAAGTAATACCACCCCCCTTTTTGAAGACCAGCTGTTTAGAAAAACAAACAATATTCAGAAACCTTAAGGCAGAGCATGTGGCTTATTTTAAGCACCCCTCTGTGAGTCCCTACCGTGGGGACATGCTGAGAGTGACTGCCCACCACCAGGACAGGCTCTGTCGGATTTTCAGGGTCAACTAGTTTCTCTTATTTGAACTTTCTTCCTCCAAATTTTTGCTGTGAGTAGCTTAAGTTTATAGACAGAGTCAGTTTCTAACTGGCTGTTAAATATACTTGTGATATTTGACAACACTTTCTGAAACGCTTTTTGATGTATATCACAGAGGAAAACAAAAAGAAAAGGTAATTGAGAGAGGCTGAGTTTAAAATTATGTTTGTAATTTTTGAACAAAATTAATTAAAAAACAACAACCCTGGAGTATCGTTTATAAAAAAAATCTTCCATGAAGATGAACAAAATAGTACTTGATTTTCCTAAAATCATTTCCAACAGATGAGAAATCTGCTTGCATGATAGAGATCACATGCGAATTAAGTTCTGGTGGTGGCCGTCAGACCGGGTGTTGTCAGTGCCTTTTGGGGCATTCTAGCTGGATGCAAAATCCACGGCCCCAGGCTGGTCATTACCGCAGGGCCACACGGGCCACGTGCACCAGTGAGCGTCAGGGTGGGGCCGCCGCTCACCTGGCCACAGACAGGTGGGGATGTCCCACCCCTCGGCTCTCCGCACAGACAGGAGTGGGCGGAAACTCACTGCGCAGGCGCTCCGAGAGCCGTGCAGGCAGACCCAGGGAGACCAACAGGCGTCTGCTCGAGAGACTCAGGTGAAGGAGGCGCCAGGAAGTGCTGAGTCCCGGCACAGGACCAGGGCCACATCCCCGCTGGTGCCCTTGAGGCGATTGGGCTGCACCTGACCCCTCCCCGCCCTGCTGCCCTCCGGGTCGCTGCGTCCAGTCACAGCCCCTGGCTGGCGGCCGCTAACCTAGACGGCGTCGGCGGGAAAACGCCCTGCGCCCGTGCCCAGGCAGAAGCGAGGACGGGGGACGGGGCAGCAAGTTCTGTGCGGTCGATGCTGCCTCCGGGAACGAGAGCTGTCCTAGGAAAGCAGCTAGAACAGATGTCCTTTTTCTTTCAGGGTTTGGGACTATGTCGTCATGGAAAGTGGATATTGTGTGGAGTGTCTGTGTGTACAGGTACGTGTGTGTCCCCACAG